CTAGCTATTTACCTATTTGGCGATGAAATTCACAGCCATTAGGAAAAGGGAGCGAGTAATGCTAATTTAGATCTGGAGGAAAAGAAGAAATTTTGCAAAATCTTTTCTTCGTGGGAAAGTAATGCGAGGTAGAGTGAGGGAGGCTTTGCCTTTGACCTCGTTTAAATACCCAAGATTGCATCTGCTTCCCTTGTTCCCGGCTGGTGACTCTGTCACAACCTGCTGTGGTTGTGCGCGTGATGGTGAATCCAGTCAAGCTCCCAGACAGAATAATCGGATCGCCGGAGCCAAAATACGGCATTTTTTCATCTCTGACGGTTGGATGACTGAGTTATGGGGAGATGAACTCCTTCTCACCTACCTAAGACATTTTGATTGATCTCGACCTGTTGTGGATGATAGCACATTTTATCAACCAATCTGGAAGAAGTCAGTGAGAGCGCAAACCTCGAAGCGTTTTCTAAAACGACCTATAAAGGGAAAAAAGCTTAACGCAATAGAGAGGACGAGGATGAGGCGATACCACCTTTTCGCATTCCCATCCTCAAGTTAATGAGATACTGAGATGTCTCGTGAGAACAGAAAGCCTTCCCATATCTGGATCCACTAGTTTGGATTAATTTCACCTGCCTAAGCTCAACTTGTGCCGCCTTCAGCAGTTGGATCCTAACCCTAATAACTTGGCCTTTAGTAAGATATGGATGGTTAACAACTTCACCTGCAGTCTCTCCCACACCCCCGCCATACGCACAATGCATCCACAGCCTTCTGGGCGTGACGCAGTGCCTCAGAAATGTGAGGCAGTGTGTGGCTCGTGGGATTACAAGAGCATTTCCTATCACAAGTCAGTTGGTCTTAAAATGATCTATTTTCCGGCGTGGACAGATCAAGATTAGCTTCGTAAAGCAGCTGGACTCAAAACACGGTCACCTTATCCAACCAACCCGTCCGCACGGTGGTGCAAAGATATGGTGGAGAGTTCTGAACCAATGAGCCGCCGTATCTCCACACCTAATGAGATCCACATTTCAAAGTTTCATAGAAGTCGCAACAAGTCAACAATGCCAACGTGTAAATCTTCTTAGACGTTTTGTTTAACAAATTGTTGATTTTATTCCCAAAATATCCCCTAGGTTGGAGCATTATTCACTAGAAACAGGTTTATATCTTATTAAACAATCTTACCTAAACATGTAAAACGCATAGAAGTACGATGCCTGTCAATCCACCGGGGGTTACTGCCGATCTGAGCCACTTCGAAGCAATTAGGGTCACACCGCTTTGCGCCTTGTCGTACCTTCTCAATGTCACATCATGAAGTGGATTCTGTTGAATTGTAAAACTCTTGCAGTAAAAATTAAGAAAATGTTTAGCTTAAAGGCAGCGGTCTAAAAGGAAAGCCAATTTTGAGCCAAAACCGGTTGCCTTCCTTACTAATGTTGCAGACGTCTGAACTAGGCGAAGCGAACTTTTGGGGTGAATGGCAAAAACTTTTACGGTGGAGCCATTCGTAGACAAATGTGTCTATATTGGGCTGCAGATAACACTGCAAATCCGTTTTCCCAAATGGCATCAGACAAATGAAAGATATGTGTGTGTGCGTGTCAAAAAAGCGCACATTCCATGGGTTTTATGATGACAATTTTTTGACCGCAGACTACACCGGGATTGGAAAATGAAAGTGGAATATTACTTTGACTTTCCCAAAATTATCAACTTGCTCTTTTTTTAATGGGAAAGGGGAGAGAGGAAGGGGAATGCGGTGTTCTTTCATATTCACATCTCACACAGAAATAGATTCATTTCAACAAGTGGCAAATTTTTAAACTGCATCCATTGCTTTGCCAATGCGCAGAATCAACAAGGTAAGTGGACTTTGTCATCAACGTTTTGAACCGGAATTTGGATGAACTAAACGTGTTTTGCGTAGAACAAGCTTCGAAACCATGTTTATGTTACCGTGAACAGCTTGATGGATTATGTAATTTTCTTTACTTTTTTTGACGGAAGGGAGGGGTTTGGAGAACCGAAATTTTGTGCACATTGTCGAGGATTAAAGCCACAAATTTCTGGCTTAAATCACACAGATACGTCCGGAATTTTGTAGATTAGTCTTTTGTATTTAAGGGATCCTCATAAGTGATGAAGTTTGACCAATTTTTCAATGTCTTTATGGAATCATTTTGGCACAAGTACCGCCTCTCATGTGATTGCACCCTACAACCATTTGGATTTTTCTCTTCCTCGGTTAGCACTACTGGCTTTTTGTCAGTAGAACGTGTTTTTTCTCCTAAATCACCATGGTAACAATGGTAGAAGCTCTGTATCGAAAAAGGAGGCGGTTTTAATCGTGGATAAGGAAACGGGGTTGAGAGAACTTTAGACTACTTCAACAAATCACATGAAGGTTACACTGCGTTTTGGTTACCTTTGCACATAATCTTTTTTGATTGGATAATCAACGAGACAGCACCATTTTAGAACACGTACTTGAGCAGATGTGAGATCACTTTTTATCTGAGAAATTAAACTATTAGCTTTTGGCTAAAAAAAAAAAAAAAACAGAAAAGAACCTCTAAATTGATTGACATTGGCCTGTTCGACATAGAGCTTGTACACACTTCATTGTCGGGTCATCACAGGGTCAGGACAAGGAAGAGCGTATCTGGGATCGTTTATGGTGAACCTGGAAGGAAGGTACATGAGAAGTCCCGCCTCTTGAGCATTTATGTCTTCTCAAGTGACCTTGATGACAGGGCCTCATCCCTGTGACACCTTGGCCAGGTATAATTAGGGGAAGCCCAAGGTGTAAGTGCTTCTCAACTGCTGAAAAGGAGGCACAAGAAGAGAGAAATTGCTAATGCCAAAGTAGAACCTCGAAATGGAAGCTTGATGCTTGATCAAATGCCACTTCCAGATCGCGGTCTATCTCATAATAATAACCACACAACACTATGCAATTTCAACAGCCCTTTTGCTCATTCACTTACCCATGTGTTTGCTCCGGTTCAAAAGTTCATCCAAGAAGGCGTCAAACCTCTGGCAAGATGCCGTGACACGCTGATAATGCCTTGTGGTTATCGACCTCTAAAGTGTAGCAATTTGCCTCCTCGCCTTGCATTGTATTGTGGAAGGGGACTCAAATGTGTGGAGACTCAACTAATCCATCTCATCTGTCGCCAAAATAGCCCCTCCAAAGTTAATTTTATTTATCAACCTCAAAAATTACATGAGAACAGCAATGGCAAAGGGGAAGAAGGGATGCGCATTTGAAGAGTACACAACAACTTTCAAAGGGGAGTTAACTTGGACAAAAGGAAAAAAAGGAAACACAAACACACATTTCAAATAATCACAGCTCGACAGATGTGTTGACTCAGGAAGTCCCCTTGTAGGGGTGATTTGTGCATGGAAGACAATGACCAAAGGAGATGCCTAATGAACAAATTACTGAAAACGAGATGAAAAGAGAACAGAAGGAGACCAACTGGGTGGGTGTTAATTGAATCAAATTTGCTCTGTTTTGAACAAGTAGTCAAGACGTTAGAAGCGACTTCGGCGATGCTTCTTTGTCTTCTCCAACTTCTCCATCGATCCACATACGGACTGAAATTTAGAGGAAAAAGGCAAATTTATTCTTAGTATTTTTTAAAAATCAAAAAGACGAAAAGACTTAACGAATCCATTGGCCAAAAGGCGATTAAAGGATGAACGATTAAGGAGAATTAAAACATCGGTCAACTGTTGTCAAATGCCAAAAAAAGCACAAGTACGATAGAAGAAAATCGACGAAACAAATTTACGGAGGAGGAGGAGGAGGGAGGAGGAGGGAGGAGGAGGGAGGAGGAGGAGGAATCAGCAGGTCATCACCAAGTCGACAGAGAGAAAGTGTTTACTAGATTTTCAAAGTTCTACTAAGGAAAATTGTAGATTTCTCGTACGGAACAGCAAGAAAATGAAACGGCACGAAGATGGAGGAGGAACTGGACAAGGTCAAAAAAATTCACCACTTATCCCAAATCCAATCATGCAGAAAGCTGAAATTTAAGGACAAATTTTAACCCATCAAAAAAAAACGAAACAGAAAACAAAACGAGGAGATAGTTGGGATCTGGACTTCTCAGTGGCGGTGAGCAGGCAAGAGCAAAATCCATCAAACTAGGTAGCTGGGAATCACTGACAGCCACTACATCGTAAAAAAGGAAGTAAAGGCGGGCATGCACAAGCACGAAATTCAACAAACTCCATTTTGATGAAAAAGAAGGAACAGAAGGCCAGTAGAATTAGCTCTGTGACTAAAATTTCCGGAAATTCTTCCCTATTAACGGACCTAAGTCATAATTTTCAAAAAAAAAAAAACAGCAGGCAAACGAAGGGAGATGGCAAGAAATCAAAAGGGATGAAACCCGAAGGCTACACTAGAACTTCGACACCACGGTTAGGAACGATGTGGAAGACAAGAGAAGCAATAAATTGACGGAGACTAGGTAAATCAAAAATTAATTTTCTCAAAATTCATCAAATCAAGCCACCAGAAATTGGTGACTTCTCCCACGAAGTATACGACCCATTAAATGACAAAGCAAGGGAGGTCCTGTGTCAGCAAAAAATACGAGGGGTGGATCGAAGTCCAAATGGTGAAAAAAGCGCCACCAAAGTACTCGAGATTGCACACTGTTATCATGTAGAAAGTATTACAGCCGGAGAAATATCTAAGCTCTAAATAAACGCGACTTCTATGATTAAAGAGAAGAAAAACTAGACAACTCGGTTCACATTTCTCAGGGAATGCTATCCATTTCAACTTGCAAATAGACTCCATAGCGAGAGCGAAAAAAAACACAAACTATATTAGAGGAAGGAGAACAAAGTAGAACGGAGGATGATGGAAAAATGCAAGGTCAGGAGGAGAACAATAATAAACCAAAAGCAACCCCGTAAACTCGGCAACATTGGGTGGAAGAGAACAGAGCAGACTTTAGCCTACGTCCATGCCTCCTCTATCCCTCCATCTGGGCTAACGGTGCACCCAAAAGTGCTGCACAGTGGAGGGCGACATGGTAGCCACCATCTGTTGTGGTGAATGACGTAGCACCGGGAGAGGTGGGAGCCGATTCCCTACCAGGAGCAGAGGAGGCTCTCTGTGAATGCTGCCTCGTCCAATGCATTTTACGCGATCGGGAGCATGAACGCAACTTCCGCCATGATGAGACCAACAGACCGGCTGACCATGTACACGTAGTGGTGACAGTGCTGATCGGGAAATTGGGCTAAAGTGAACGCAGCAACTTTGATAATGTTAATAGGGGAAGGTAATAGCTAGCAGAGGCAAGAGGCTAAAAATCGTCTAGTCGCTCAACTGAATGCACCTTCTAGCGTCGGTTTGAATGTCGGTCTCCATCTATCTGTGTATCCACTTGTCCGCCCGTAGATCCACCTTCCCGTGTTTTTGCTTGAATCTGTTTATCTCTTTGCCAGTCCATTTGGTTGGATGGCTATCCATTCACACCTCTGCATGCCAGTTTTTCCCTGTCTACTGCTCTGACGGTTTGTCCACCTATCCGCCCATTTAGTTGTCAAATGGCCTATCCTTCTGTATGCGATTGTCTGCGTGATCAATCGAGCAAAATAGTTTTTTCCTATTTGCAAGCCTAAATAAATGTAATTAATTACTAGAGCTTTATTATCAGTCATCATTCCATCTACCTGACTCTGTCTGCATAAGTCTATTTGTAAAATATAGCCGTCTGGCCATCTACCAACTTGCCCGTCCAGTTTTCCATCAAATCGTGCACCTGCTTTTCTCTCTCTTTACTTGTCTACCTATCTGTGTGCCGCTCTATCTCAGTTCATTCGAGGCTTCATTAACCAATCTACCTACCCATCTACCACCTCAATTTTTACCCATCTATCTGACTTCCCACGTAATTAACCCCCTTCTTTGACGTTCTGGCTACAAAATAACGATATAGGCGGTAAGAAAAAGGGAAGATGTTCATTTGATTCCTTGTCAATAGCATAAAAATGCTGTCATTCAAAATGGGCTTAGGAAACTTAGCTGCTGCACAAATACAGCTTTAAAAACTGCGTAGCCTACAGTATCCACCAATTATGAAATATTTGGTATTAACTGGTAGTTATGAGGGCAACAATGGGACAAACTCTTGATCTTGTTTCTCTTAATAAACAATTACAATAGCTGGGACATCCAAGCAATTCTTCAATTGCCCGATCATATCCTGAGTAATTGGATGTCACTTAATTCAAATGTCATCCATGCGCAGTAAATCACAAACGAGAAAGCAAAATTAAGGTTGTAGTGAATTTGTATTACTTAAGAGAGACCGGTAGGAAAAAAAATCAAAATATTCTGCTCTCCTTTTTTGTGACTAGATACGAAATCAGGATACCAAATTGCCAGCACCTAGAAGATGACCTAGGCACCAGATCTGAAAGAGGTTGCAGGGAGAGTAACTCACCAATTGAAAGCTTACTCGATAATTGAATTCGACAAATTTGCACAATACATTAGTGCTCGACGGATTACTAACTACCGGGTTGGGGTGATTTTGAAGGCCACAGAAAAAATTCCCTATCTTTTCCTGCCGAAGCAGTGGAGGAATCTAGCGCTTGTTTGGTCATTTCAGTAGTGTTGGAAACTAAGATAAGCGAAGCTCCCACACCACTGCTCAATAGCACGATTAAGGAGCGGTTAGCAATCCGTGTACCCAACAAGAGCGTACCAAAGAAATGCAGATGTTTTGCTTTGTTAGATATTAAAAATGGATCTTGTCTACTACTCAAGAAAAACTTAGGCATGTTAGAACCAATATCTTTCAAACATGCTTTGTTCAGCGAAGAAAAAATACACATGTTTCACATGCTACACTGCGCCACTGAAAACCATGTTAAAACTGGGTGCATCAGAATCTACCAGTTAATTGCCAACCACAAAATCAACCGAAATCACCACTAGATGATGAAATCCGTACAATAATAAACTTACATTAAATGGGGAATGCCCAAGTAGTGATTTCTTCTAAAAGAAATCTGTCTTTTAACTCTGGAGCATGCAGGAAAACCACAAAATCTTGCAACAAACCAAACCTTGTTTACATTAGTGGGTGATGTGACTGAAACACCGCAACAAAATCTACTTTACGTCAGGAAAAAAACTATTTATCACTAAAAATTGTCGTCTGTGGAAAATTCACCGCTGTAATTGGAGTGCTACTCAAATCATTTCAGTAGAGCCCCGAATACTCACATGTGAACGAGAGGGGATGTATTGCAGATTGCCATACAATACCTGGAATTCAAAAACACATCCCAACAGATTACTCCGGGATCCTGAAATTGAATCAGCAAACCATCGAATTCCACTTAACAACGATTTGAGTAGACTCACGTCAGCATAGTCCCTATTTTCCATTTCCCAGGTGACACGTTGATCATTGAATGCCTGGCGCGCGGTGGCAATATTCTCCGCCTCCGATTCCAACTGTTGTTGCATCTGTTGCACACGTTCTGCCATCTCGTGTTCACTGTCCTTCAGCCGCTTCTCGCGTTCCCGGACCTGAAGGAGGGCAGACAAGGCACTTGAATACTGCGAGTCAAGTATTGTGTTAACGAGCGAGAATTGTAACAACTTTTCCTTTGGTTGAGCTTGATGATCGTACCTGCTTTACGTGGCACTAAGTAGCTACTTAAAGCAAAATCAGTAGACATCCGTAGACTGTTCAACTGATGTTGGACAAAGTGGAAGAGCTAGTTAAGACATGCATTTACCCTGCGATCGTGACACGCGTTTGACACTAGGAGTTTGGCTTTCCTCCTTAGGTTGGATTGCGGTAATAAGAGAGTTAAAATTATACATGGTAAACAAAATTAATAACTCCATAAAAAATCCAAGGGAAGCTTGGCAATTCAGCAACAAATGACGGACATGATCAGGTCTTTGAAGATGGAAGTGAGGATATTTGTCTCCTCGACGACCTGTTCAGGGAGCAAGTTGAGTTAAAGAGGAGGCAAAGAAGTGAATTCTTCTAAGCATGCCGATATTTTGACGTTGAAGGTAAAAGTCAACATTGGGTAAGAAAAGTCACACACCTTCTCCACGTAAACCTGATTCATCTCCTCCACCAACTTGTCCAGCTTAATCTGATGTGTTTTTCGCTCAGCGTCCAGTTGGCTAAGAGGCTCACGTCCATCCTGCAGATTGAAGTGAGCCGCCTCTATGGTGTCTGTCAGACGGTTCGTCCGGTAGTTGGCATAGTGCTTTGTGTAGGTCACGTCAATTAGATCCTGCATGCAGGGAGGGTAGCCAGGGTATGAATTATCATTTAAAAACCAAGAAAGCAAATCCTGTCGTGCAATTTAGCAAGAGTGCACTCTTAAATTTAAGCAAGAAAAAGAAGCTAACTTCAACAGATATTGATGTTTAAACAATAGTGCGCTTTTAAAACTTGCCTAGACACCAATGTCCCACACTTTTCTGAGTACAATACTAACGGAAATAGGAGCAAAGCCAGGCCCGATACCATCACTTGGTCGTCCTGCAAAATCCATTCTCGCGTTTTTTTTGTTTCCCTTAGCCATTTTCAGGGTACCTCCCCTATTCCTTGTGGCTGTGTCTGCAGTAGTTGGATGTTTGAAGGGCTTCGCTTCTGTTACACTAGTAATGACACCATTCAAGCTTTTCAACCCACACAGTCGACTCCATTTGTGAGGTTCTTATAGTCCCACACCAGACGACAAAGATATTTGGGCTCTCGGGTTACGTGTCCGCTTTCTTCTCACAAATGCCGGAAGTGTGACAACACAACACTTTTTTGCGCCTATGGAGCGATTCAGCCGGGAGGTTTGGCATTTACCTTCGATTAGGGTTGGCAACTCTTTTATGCAGCAAGAACTGTCAGCGTAACGGACACTTGTTTCCGCATGGCACACTCCGTTGTTACAGGTTAAAGGTCCTACTCCACATTTCTTCTCACTGTTTCCGACGAAAACTTCTTCCAGAGTAGCACATTTTGCAATTTCTATCCCATTTATTTGTTACAGTCGTTTTTGTGAGGGCGCTATCCCTTGGGAGGGTGCAGTATAACCGAATGTCCTCACGTTTAAAAAAAATATACGAAGCTATTTTCTTCTAATTCCTTCCTAGCGGGGCAAAAGATAGCTGTGAATTACACTTTTGTCAAACCTTTTGTCCCCAGAAGCCTCGACCCTAAACTCATCCGTTCCCATTTCACCTTCATTTCCTAACCTGGAGAAATATCACAGGAGAAGGAGGACGATAATGAACCAACTTGTCACTCTCATCCTGAAGTGTGTTATTCGGTTTTCGTGCGCGTACTTTTTGTGCTACGAGGTCTTGCATTGCCTTACAGGACCAAGAATGGGACTTTCTCTTAACTGAGTGACTAGTACCTGCTGCTTCCAAAGAAGTTTTTTTCATGCACATCTTCCGGTTGCATAGACCAGTGATCCCTTGGGTGAATAGTTATGCGTGTATTGGAAGTGTGCGACGTGTAGTGAGCAGATCGTTTGACGATTATTGCAACAGCACCGCGAAAGATGTTGATACGCTGACTCTCGTCAAGGGTTTTTTTTCATCCGTTAATGCATGGCATGTGAAACCAATTTCGTTGACTTTTATCACAATTTTCCCGGTTACTATGCTGCTAAATGAATTGCTTCTTCCGAAGAGCAATCCATCTGCCTTCGAGAGATGCAGCTTACATCACTAAGGTCCAAGTTAGATGGAATAAAGCTGTGACTTGTTAATAACTCTTTTAATGGCAAGGCAGCGCTAATTCCGCCAAACAAAACTTAAAGTGTGAAGACAGAGAGCTCATTTAATACGCTAAAAGACTACATCTTGGTGCTAAATCTGACCTACTTCTCTCACTTTCCATCAGATTGTAATACAACATTAAGCTTGTAAGCATAAAATATTTGATCACCTCTTAAATATCTTTTAATAATTATGGTGTTTAGTAGATGCATGATTTAAAGGCAGGTAAAGGGGAATAAACCACCTGCATAAAATGCCGCATCAAGAGGGTCTTGAGCGCCTGAAAATCATTGTGCTCCAAGCTGTCCGTCTCCACTGTTCCCCAGGGGTACACTCGACACCTCACCTACAACAAAGACGCGGAACTATGTGCGATCCAGTCACGAAGTAATCAGTAGTCGTTGCCATGTCTACAGGAACATACTACTCAAAATGGAAGAGGAATGTTTTTTTTGCTGCAAAACCGACAAACAAGTGAGCAGATGATTTTGTTGATAAACCAGAATTAGGAAACAGTTGGTGAATTGAAGAACAAACTGATGGTCTATAGAGTATGTTATCATATACTGTTAATCTATAGCATTGGAGTGGAACCCTGTTCCTTAGCTTTTACGACTTTTCCAGTGGCTGCAGATGCAGGCACAATGCCTCATCACTGATGTCGAAAAAATTTCCGCAAGAACAAAATCAGTGACATGTCAATCTCGGCAACTGACCATTCAAAGTAAGAGGAGAGGGTTTCCTCGAATGTGACGAACCTTTAGACGAATCATCACCGAAGATCAAATTGGTAAATTCTTTGCGGAGAGTATGAGTTACATGTTACCAGCCATTGGCAACAGACTGCAACAAAACATTGTCCTGATTATTTTTGCTGAACAAGTAAATTAGAAATGACCCAATAAAGTGAATACAGCGTCAAAAAACTCGTGAAGCCAGAATTATCCAATCAGATAATCCTAGCTTTAAATAAACCAATAAGAAAAATTATCATTTTGGATATCCATAAATATTTCGAAATAGTCAAAGGTTAGATTTATTTTTTCTGTTTATGCATTAAGGAGAATCTTCTTAGTATTTTTTGAATTCCAGGATGGGTTTCACTTGTTTGCTTCCACATTTTAACCGCAGAAGATTGGGACGATGTGGGTCTTTTGCCACTAATTCAATATGACCTAGCGTGATAAGTGAATTTATCCATACGCACACCTCTTTGCACCAAAATACGATTTACCACTTTTTCTAATCAGCACTCTTTCTGTCAGTTGTCATTTAGCATCAAATATTCTGATAGTAATAAAACAACCGTCTTCCTCCTTTAAATTGGTTGTTTAAGGTAAGAGGTGGTCAGTATGTACGAGACTGGCGACTGAGGAAATGCCATTGGCCCCTGAGGAGGAAACAAACCTCAAACCCGTAGAGGCCTGATTCTCTGTGCACTTTCACAATACTCATCCAATCAAAAAATGTCCTCTTTTAACCAATCCACTCGTTCCAAGGATGTGAAGGTATAAACGCTGAACCTGTTGCAACTGGGAATTATATATTTCGATTGTTTATCCAAAAGCAATAAATTAAACGAATTTTTTTGGTTTTCCACTTCTTTAAAATAAGTCGCAGTTGAATTAAGAATAAAGTTTGAACGCAAGAGTCTCATTTTGTAAAAAGGAAGAGCATTAGAATAACAGTTTGCACTACATGCTGGGTTTAATAATGATGAGGTGCAGGATTAAAAAGGAGTGTTCAATGAAATTAATTACCAATTGAAGAGTTGCCCTTTAAAATCACACCCCAGAGATTCACATCTTGGGTTCGGGCTTTGGAAAAAAAACACCTTTTTCTTTTGAAAGTTCGGATAAAATGTCCTACGGGAAGTTAAAATAGCCAAAAACCTTCAAAGTTGAGCTATTCTTCTCGAATGTATGCATAGAAAGGCACTTTTATGGTTTGGTAAGGGGACCTTGTGACTTTCCATTTGAGGGCCAAAATTTTATCCGAAACTCTACCTACCGTGGCAGCAAACCACTGGCAAATGACTGACACTAACAAACACTCATCTGAGGGCTTTGATGTTCAAAAGCTTGGATGAAAAATAAATTAACCTCGTTTGGAGGCATGCCAAAACGTTTGAATGAACTGAATTTATACAAACTGAGGGAAATAGACACCAAGCATTAAAACGATTGATTGATAAGGCTATTAAATGCCCAGGCGATGGTAGGATTGTTTGTGCAAAAGATGCACCCGCTGTGGATATTTTTCAGTATCAGGTTAAGCCAGCAAAAACCATTTCTTTCCATAACAAAGTACTATAGTAGTGTTTTCTTTCTCAACCACCCAATTGGGCACAGCCTAGGAGTGTGCGGTTGCAAACTTTAAAAAGTTAATTTGCAATTCAAGAATGAAATGCAGCCCGGGGAAACACACAGGGAGACATGAAAAACACACAGCCAATTGAATGCATAATTGCTTGGGGCAACTTGGAACCGTGCATGTATTTCAGATGTCAAGACCAACCATTCCATGGTTCCACAGTTTGGTGGGGTGAACTAACTGACCAGTAATTGCTGTTTCTTAAGGAGCAGTTTGCCTTCTTATATGCCTTCGAGTAATTATCGAGCACCAACCCCTATTTTTTTGGTCTTTGACAAGAGTTCATTAGTAAGAAATAGGGTCGACAGCCAAACATACATACGCACACACCCAAAGCATGGTCGCCTGAGATGATGTGCTGCCTTGAAACGGTGTGATGGATAGTGAGTAGATCCTTTGAAGACAGCTGATGATATTCCCGCTCATTTTATGAACGAATAGTATCGGGAAGTGCCTCAGCATCATAAGCTGATCAGTAAGGCAAGATGCATTCTTACAACACACGCAAGAAAATCGGTGGGTAAACTGATGTCTCATCACCAAGTGTCAACGCATGGTATTGGGGTGAGGAGCCTTGAAGTAGCCTTCACAACGCCTCTCCCCTTTCACGTAGTGTAATTGTGATTGCATTGTTTTATCATTCGAGTTACAATAAGCATTACTAAGTAACCTAAATTAGTGACGAGTTGATGTTAAATTTGTTTGTTCAATTAAACATACAAGATTTGCAAAGATCGGAAATAAAAGATGCTCCTAAACGTAACAGATTTCAACCCGTTATTCGCCACCCAAATCAGGCGGTAAGTTCTAAAACCACGTCTTTAAGTAGTGCTATAATAACTTCTACAAAATCTGCAACTTTTAGACAAAAGTATACTTGATTTGTAAAGCAGACAAGTCCGACTTACATCGACCAAAGAGGAAACAGAAGAGAGCGCAATTATATCGTGCCGACAGACTAAGACACATATTTATTCTTCACGATACATAACAAAAGGCAAAATAACGTCTCTAAACGGATTTATCACGTAACATCCGTGCAATCAAAACCCACCTTAATTAGCGAAGTAGCAGATTTACATACATTAAATCTTCCAGCCAACCTTAAATCAACTGTTTACATGAGTTTTTACTAGGGACACAGGAAGTAGTTTTGTTTTGCTTCGCAGACTCCCATCACTTTGACTGAATCCCACAGATGCGCACTTTTTGGGCCTCCAAAAATTTATGCAAAATTCGAATGAAATTAAAAATGATTTATCAAACATGCAATGTTATGTGCGCTAAAATGTATTTACCACAGCGTCCCGGCGCTGCATTGTAATGCCTTCTAAAGCCTGGGGGAGGACCAATCGCCACAACTATTTCCTGCCTTGCATAAGCATTTAACGGCGTTTACTTCGACTTACTGGAACGTAGACAACTAAGAAAGATAGGAAATGGGAGCTCTTAATGCAAAAAGGCGAAACAATGAATAAATCTAGGTCACTGGATGTTTGTTATAGCCATGGTCAAAATTTTCTGCCTAAATTCATCCTATAGCATCAACATTAAGCACTTTTATAACCAAAAGGTCCATTTGTCAACTGCAAGATGGATCATTAAATGTAGTAGCGAAGACCATTTTTTGTACAAATTCCAGATCCTACAAAGATAGCAGCTTGACCACTTGATTCTTGGGTTTTGGAAAAAAGTGCATCCTAAAATTAAATCAAACTGCTCCTGAAAAAAAGAAGTAAACAATGGATTGACCCTAATGTCTGCCTCCAATTTGTGGTTCTTAGATCCACTCTTGTTGCAATGAGCTACGAAGTTTCCCTATTGTCTGAAGATGATGGCAGCCGCTGCATTATTAACGCATGCTTTCTTGAGGGGGGAACACAAATACTGACCTCAGCCAGAATAGGGTGCTTCCACAATCATGCGTGCTGTTGGCCATGGTCCCCTTTCCCACACACACGCACACACAAGGACGTTTGAAGATGGAAAGATTCAGTTGGAGTTGCTGACTGGGCGAAAAAGTGATTTCTGCCGGCTTTTCATGTCAAATTTTTCTTGGTTTTCGTCACGGAAAACCAATCATAAATGAGGAGTTACTTAATGTCAGAAATTGTCCGAACCAAATGAGAAGGTCATCTCCATTCCGCAAGTTATTTATTTCAGTAATAAGGGTATGCTTCTAATTCATTAGGAAGGCCTAGATGTGGAGAGATTAACATGGTTAATGTCGGAGAAAAATCGACTCGTTCCTTAATTCTGTCCCCATAAAAAGACAACAAAAGGAAAACTGAAACACTTCATCCTGGTAATCGAAACCACTTATGCATGATAGTCAGGTAGAAATAGTTTGACATCTAGTGAATGGTGAATAGGAGTTGCCCATTATTGCTTAAAGAAAGAAAAAATGCAGATTACTGACCCATTGTTAGGGCTTTTCCGCAATAACGATCAATAATAGATGGGTTTCTGACACTTCCAAGGGAGATGCGAGGAAACAATGTACATTACCGATGGTAGGGGTTCTGCACAGAAGCGTCGATCACCTTCAAAAGTGTCCTGACTGATTGGAAATCATGACATTTATTCTACTAGAAGATAAAATTTCATAAGGCTTTCATTATACCCCATCGATGACTCCATGGATTTGGGGAAATAACCAGAAGCTGACGCTCGCATGTTTTCAGAAATTATTTCTAAGTAGTTTTTTAGTGTTCATAATACGAAATACACTATCACATTTATATTTTCTGAAAAAAAAGCAAATTATAGAATTTGCAGTTATTCCCCAGCAGGTAGCGATGACTTTGACAGAGATGAGTTGACAGGAAACAATTGTCTATGAAGCAAGAACATTCATCTAAAGGATAATGAATAATGACTAGTAAAATAAGAGTACAAAATTCTGAGGGGAAATAATCGCTATTTCAAGCAGTCTCTGTTTTATGTAGCAGATTCTAATACCTTCAATGTCAGCTCCACATTTTATGTGGCACCTCCCGATCCGCCTGAACTCACTTGTCACGCATAGGTGACGCGTTTATTTAGCAAGGTCTAGAACTGAAGTATCAGGGAGAAAGCAAAATAAATCTCGGTCATAGTCGTGATCCGCTTCTAAAATCTACCACGTATTTATCTTTATGTGACATAATGGTGGATCTTAAAAACAATTTTTTGCCTCTGAGATCAAACAACTTGGATCTAGCCACTTCATTCCCTACCTTACTTTCATTTCTCACATGTCCGCTCCATCTGGCTTGAGGTCGACCAATCGTCAAAGCGTGACTATCACCTGCAGTGATTCCAGAGAAGTGGAGAGGAGAAAGATGAGATATATAAAAGTGCAACATGGAATCGTTTCAAAGGTCAGCTTTGAGTAGGAATGAGATCATGAACAATAACATAGGGTAATTCATTCCCACCATAGTATCTTATGGACTAGGTGTAAGCCCTAGTTATTCGGTCTTCAGCAAGTGCACGATTGTCAGCAAACAAGATACACTTGTCTGTTCAGCAAACTTGGCAACAGTAAGGTAATTCCTCATCACAAGTCAAACAGCCCATCGGTAGATGAACAAAACAGGCTACGGTGAACGGTACGTGATTGAAGCGGAGAACAAGTTATTAACAAGCTATGCAGCTTACTGCCTGTCGTCTATCACCTCATGACATTTGCACGTGAGACTCGAATCCTCAACTCCCACGGCATTTCCAGTTGGCGTAGGTGCAACTAATTTTCCTCCCTCCCTCACCTTCTTGCATACATAAAGAAAGGCTTTTTGAGTGTGGGCTTTTTTTATTCTTCAGACTTTACAGAACATTTTTCGGTATTTTTGGCTTTGTTTAGTTGATTTTTACCACGTCGTTTTGAAATTGGTTACATTAAATAAGATTGCATCACTTTTACAAAATCACGTCCAAAAAACGCGTCTCCGATTTGAGGTGTTAGGTAATTTTCCACAAAGCTTACCCTTGCGGTGTCATGCCGTCTGCATCAATTAACAAAATTCAAAATTCTTGTAATGTTGTGGACGAAGGAATAATGCACTCAGTAATCCAGTTCAAGAGTTGGAAGAAGCTGTCTGTGCTGAGTAAGTCCAACACCAAGATGAGGTATTTCCTCATATCTAAGTAAATCGGCTCCGCCACTACGTTTACCATTTTCGCAGGCGCCAGATGGGGGAAACCATTTGCGCACTTTACTACTAAACTTTCCAGAGATGTTTACTTCGAAATTATTTGGAAAATATTTTCATAAGATTACAAGCACTGAAAAAAGGCTCATGAATTGGGTCCGCGGGAGAAAGGTAATGTAATCAAATGTCATCACAATATGACGTTATTTGCCCAAATATAGGTGCATTCGGCCAAGGAAAGTGAAAACACAATTAATTCGACACATATGCCAAACGCCAAATCGGTTTTAAGTAAATCAAAGAAAGTGGAAAGAATTTCACAAATCATTCGAACAAAAATGCTTTCGAAGGGGGTACTTTAAACTGGCAATTCGCCCGTTAATTTTTTACGAAATTCGGCTTTCGGCAACACTATGATAGTATAAAAAATAAATGTAGGCCAGTACTTAACAATTTCACACAAAATTGCTCCAAATTAAAAATGCCAATTTAGACATCAAATTTTTAAAACAAAAAAACGAGAAGTATGCAGACTTGCTTCCACATAAATACTCAACAAGTAACCCTAATGTTCATAATATTACATCCCGACAAAAAATCGCATTTAGCAAGCCAATTTAAGAATCCGTGTTTGACAGTTTTTTTGTAGGAAACATCAATTATTTTTATCACACAGACTACACGTCCACAATCAACTTTTAATCACAACAAACTGGGTCAAATCGGACCACATTTTTGTGCAGCTTTCATCCAGTAGAGCGGCATCTAGTTGATATAAACCTCTTGGCCCTAGCTAATGACAACTGTCATCACGAGTTGTCACATTCAATTAGCTGAGTCATAAATAATTGTGACGATCAATAGGCTGATAATTTATCAGCTACGGGAAAGTGAAATCTACTTGTGTACTTGTTGGCAATCTACTGCACTGGATAGAAATATCTACCTTCATAAACTCGTCGGAATAAACTGATAGTTATTAACAAAGTAAACAAATATGCTCCTATAATGCAAAAAGTCCATTTACATAACTTTATCGGTTGAAATAACCACCATTTGCACACGTTTTAAAGCTAAACCCATACAGGGTTTCCTGTCTCCGTGAGAGGAAAAAAACCTGGCTCTAGTCCAATCCACTTCTACCTCATGTTTAATTGCCAACTGCCTTATCAAAGCCCCAGAAAAGTGATAATTGCCAACTAAATAAATAGTCCCAGAAGAATGGACAGGGTCATACACCTCCCCGTCCCATTCTAAGGCCAGGTAGGAT